GTGTGTGTGTGTGTGTGTGTGTGTGTGTGTGTGTGTGTGTGTGTGTGAAAAATGCACACCGTAGGCTATATTGTTGCTTCCCCCATCAAGATACATGTACAAGTAGTGTGTGAGACTACCTTACTGAGCCAATTTAAGTTTTAAAAATTACTTCCTATAGACCAGAGGTTTCCCTTTTGCCCTGGATTTCTCCTTGACTTGCACATACTGCCATCTGCTGCCCTGCCCACTTTTTGCCCACATGCTCTGAGTTGTTGTGAGCCTGTTGTGAACTTTTGATATTTTCAATTTTACAGTCCCCATACAGGACCCTTAGATGTACCAGACATTGCTTAACTCTTATGTACCTTGTTCTATTGCCGGAGATGTTGTAGAAATATAGCCTTACAATTTCAGTTTTATTGTCTTTCTAAATTCTTCCTCTCTAAATTTTAAGGGGGCCAGAATGCTGCACCCAGGTTGCTCTCACATTTCAAGATGTAGAACCATAGCACCCTTCCTTGGCTTTCAACTCTGTTAATGGACTCTCTCCTCGCTCCCACTCTGATTGGAGAGGGGTAGACAAATATAATATCAATTCCCCTTGCCAACAAGCTTTGGTTTTGTTTCTCTTTGACAGACTGGAGAATTCCGTCAGGCTGCTGAAGATGAGATAACTCATCGATACCAGAATCCATGGTAACTATTTATTCATTATTCTAGCAAACACCCTCTGGTGACTAGCCCACTGTTGCAGAGATGCTTAGATTACCCTGATCTGTAAGAAGACCTGGGACAGGCAGAACAGTGGCATGCTTAACCTTGTAGCAGAAGGTACTGGACAACAACATCTATTGTTACCAAAGAGATTCCATGAGTATCTACTGCTGCGGGAAACCCATTTTCAGCAATAGAGCTGTAGTGACAATAGCTAAGAGGCAGGATTTATAGTTAACCATTTAATTGATGTTATAATAAATAAATAGCACTATTACATAAATAGAACCAAAATAAATGTTAAAACTTAAGGAAAACTCTTTGGGACTCATAAATGCCACTGTCAAATGAAAATCCTACTTTTCAGGTTACCGATCATTTTTCAGACAGTCCCTAATTTTACCTTGGTTTATAGGGTCTGTCACATTGATTGGTGCACCATGAGCCAAGTCTGTGCTAAGCATTATTTATTATTATTATTAATGAAAATTTTAGGTAAAGTATGAGGGGGAGAAAGAGATTGAGGAGATCTGTGGAGGGGAGGAGAGTGAGGAGATTTGTAGAGTTCTCTCCCAAGAATAACATAACATAAGAATGGCCATACTGGGTCAGACCAAAGGTCCATCTAGCCCAGTATCCTGTCTTCCACTAGTGGCCAGTGCCAGGTGCTCCAGAGGGAATGAACAGAACAGGTAATCAGCAAGTGATTGATCCCCTGTCGCTCATTCCCAGCTTCTGGCAAACAGAGGCTAGGGACACCATTCCTACCCATCCTGGCTAATAGGCATTGATGGACCTATCCTCCATGAATTTATCTAGTTCTTTTTTTGAACCCTGTTATAGTCTTGGCCTTCACATCATCGCCTTGCAAAGAGTTCCACAGGTTGACTGTGCGTTGTGTAAAGAAACACACAACTCCCAGCATCATAAAACTAGTCCTATTAGAATGAGGGATAGGTTGTCACATTATGATCTACTCTGAAAAAGGGGCAGTGTCTAGATATTTTGTCCTAGGAGCAGCTTATGAATCAGACTATGACTCGGAGTTGCAATTTGCCTTCAAGTTTGCCTACCTGCTCCAGGGAGGAACTAAACTGCACCGGACCTACCCCTGGCACAGTGCCTTCTGCACTGACACAGCGCTGGCATGCAGGGAGCAAGCCAATGCTCTCCTCTACTCTGTCCCATTTTTTCCTCTCCTCTCCCATCCACCTACGTACACATGGTGGGGGGGGGGAAAGTAATGATTCTCTGGAGACTACTTCCCCTCCTGTGCCCATGGTATAGGTAGGCCATATAACAGAGTCAGGAAGTGCCTTAGTTGATCATCTACTAGCCCTGAGTGACTACAGTTTCTTTGTTGTCCTATAAATCATAGGTATAAACTCATATCTGTAATTGCTTATTTGGGTTAATACAGTGGAATTCTGTTGAGGTTGCTTTATTCTGGTGACAGGTTATAAAATAAACAGCTTCTTCATTACATTTTCCAAATGCTGGGAGCTAATGAAACATTCCGAGTTCAGTGTAGGAGGACAGCCAAAGCAGTATCTTTCAAGAAGGCTTAGAGTGCTTGTCCATCTTTTAGTGCATTCATAAAACATTCATAAGCCATTCATATTATCAAGATTTTTGAAAGCAATCCTTGTGTACAATGATTGTATAGGGATTAATATGGGGCTTACTATAAAGGACATACTATATTTACTTTTACCAGAGAACGGTGGATGGGAAGGCAGAGTGACCTGAGTTTAAACACAATTAAATGTGTGCAATCAGCTAATGGAATGTCTCACAAAAGGATGCACTATTAGATAATTAAGTTATTTTATCTAGTATGCTGCAGATCTTTAAAGCATGAACAAATTTTATAGGAACTGCATAAAATATTCAGAGGATTTAATTGTTACCATTGGATCTTTTGCATATAGCTTCACTGCTGACCCTGTAATAGCGCTGACGCTCTAGTCTTATAATCAATACAAGGTTACTACAGGCATTTCTAAGCGGAAAAAAACCCAGTGAAATTCATCAGTGCAAGGACAATACTTTGATTATCTCTAGTTATTTCAAACACAAAGTGTTCTGAGATCTCTTGCAGTATCCATTTTATATTTAGGATAGTTGGTTAGAAAAGGGTCAGACCTGTTCACTGGTGTCTTCCAGTTCCACTTTTCCAGCAAAACTATTAGAAATGTAAACTAGAATAATCAACTTTCATCCTTGACAATATTGATATCACAGTATTATTCAGGGTAATATCTCTGCAACTTTTATATAGTTTTCCAATAGCATGATGCAAATTCCATTCATAGCAAGTATAGTCCACTATCTATCATTGCTATAGACTTTTTTGTCTCTCTTTTGCTGACTCTTCCTGAATTACACTACTCAATAGAAGATCATATCAGAAATTCTTTCTGAAAGGGTAAATTGTTATTTGGAAGAGAATCTGAAGTCTCCAATGATAGCAGGAAGTAGAAGTAATGATAACAGGTAGGCTGCATTTCAGCTGGAGAAAAGTGCCTGAGTTGCAAATTTCTAATTCAAATTTGGATTCATATCTGAAGTTTCCCAAAGGTTTAAAGGGTGATCAGCTCTGATGTCTTGGTTCCAGCCCATGAAGGGAAGTAGATTATATATGTATATTGCAATATCTGGACTAGATTATACACTAATATCATAATGAACCCCTAGCTCATTTCTCAGTGTCTTCCCTGAAATCTAAATAAAATGGAGGGGGAAGGATGTAGCCAAAGGAGAATTCTGTCTTGCCTAGCCCAACATTTAACCAGTAGCAGTCTCACTAATGTAGCATACAGGAAAGGGTAGTAATCCTCAAGAGTCTTAGGGGGATCTAGGTTGGGAGTAGAGCAAGTTGTGGAAAAATAATTCCACAGACATCTTTAAAGAGAACAATTTCCCTTTCCCCCCAGTTTTGTCAAATTTCCTTGGAAAATGTCAACTTTTCACCCCAAAAAAGTGAAACATTTCCCATCAAAAACAGTTTTGACAAAATATTTTGACCTGACCTACTTGGGAGAGAAAGCCAGAGGTTTATGTGAATAGAAGCAGCTGGCCAGAGACAGCAGCCTGGCAGCTGGTTGCAGAGGGAAAGCTGCATGGCAGACAGCCTGACTGCTGCGACTGAAAAACCAAGAGCTGTGCACAGGCACACCCTGTTGTTGGCAGAGGGCCTGTAATAGCAGCAGCAGGAAGAGGATACAGCTTAGCAAGCAGAAGGCATGGGACATGTGGATGGCATATGGACAGTGCTGAAGGGCCACATCAAGACCTGAACCCTAGCTGAGCACTCTTTCTGAGATCCAGAAAAGCACTTAAGAACACACTTAACTTTAAGCATGTGAGTAAACTAGGGCTGTCAAACGGTTTAAAACGGTGATTAATTATTTTTTTTTTTAATTGCACTGTTAAACAATAATGGAATACCAATTTAAATGTATTATAAATATTTGTGGATGTTTTTCTACATTTTCAAATATTTTGATTTCAGTTACAACACGGAATACAAAGTGAGCACTCTATACTTTGTAATATTTATTATAAATATTTGCACTGTAAAAAAGAAACAAAAGATCGTGCAATCTACAAGTCAAAGCATGAAGGGGCATACGAATGTTTAGCATATCTGGCACATAAATACCTTGGCAATGCCAGCTACAACAGTGCCATGCAAACACCTGTTCTCACTTTCAGGTGACATCGTAAATAAGAAGTGGGCAACATTATCTCCTGTAAATGTAAATAAACTTGTTTGTCTTAGCGATTGGCTGAACAAGAAGTAGGACTGAATGGATTTGTAGGCTCTAAAGTTTTACATTGTTTTGTTTTTGAGTGCAGTTATGTAAAAAATAATAATTCTACATTTGTAAGTGCACTTTCATGACAAAGATTGCACTACGGTACTTATATGAGGTGAATTGAAAAATACTATTTCTTTTTTACAGTGCAAATATTTGTAATAAAAATAATATAAAGTGAGCACTGTAGACTTTGTATTCTGTATTGTTTAAATCAATATATTGGAAAATGTAGTAAAACATCCAAAAATATTTCTAATAAATTAAAATTGGTATTATTGTTAAACAGTGTGATTAAAACTGCGAATAATCACAATTAAATTTTTTAATTGAGTTAATTTGTTTTCAGTTAATAACTTGAGTTAACTGAGATTAATGGATAGCTCTAGAGTAAATCCATCCCCCCACCCCCCACTACTCTTGTGCTTAAATTTAAGCATATGCTTTTCTGATTAGGTCTGGAATGCTCAGCTCTTTGCACAATCAACCCATGTATGAGTAAAGTATTTCTAAATGCATTTCTAAATGTATTAGTACCTTGAATGTTTTCAGAAGGCATAGATATTATTACTATGGAAACTGTCTCTATATCTGTAAGAAGAGGAATTCCTTGTAGCTTGAAAGCTTGTCTCTTTCAGCAATAGAAGTTGGTCCAATGAAAGATGTTACCTCACCCACCTTGTCTCTCTTACATTCTGGGTCCAACACTGCAGACATCTGTATCTGTAAGTCAGTCTTGGTTTGTGTGATTCGTAGAGGCTGTGTCTACCCTAAAATATCTTGAGCGGAATTTGACGCGTCAAATTCCGCTCCACACCACCCTCTCAGCATTTGTTCTCTTGCTTATGTGAAGGGTACAGAATCCAATACTCCTTAATAGACAGTAATATTGACTCCTAATGAACCTGAACATTCTTTACTACAGTGGGCACTGACCCTGTTGATATCAGATGAATAGTTTCAACATCAACAAGAGGTGAGGTGATTTAGGGTGAAGTGTGCTGTACTTGACATCCATATGGTTAGATGTTTCTAGCGCTGGCATAGCCAGACAGGAGCGGCCATTGTTCAGTTTGCATGGAAATGATAGAAAGGGAGAAGCTGATGCTTTCAGAGGAAGTGAAAGTGTTAACATTTGCCTCTGTTTGGTGGCCAGTGAAG